TGATGACAGGGTCAGCGCCAACCCTATCCGCCCGTGACCGGCATGCTCGATGCCAGCGTCAGTGCCAGCCGTCTCCGCCCGTTTCGGCGGCAGACCGCCTCGTCAAAGTGGCCGCTGGGTCAGGGACTGATCTCAAAAAGCCCTCTGCGCCACCAGTTATTCAATCGCTACGCTCATTCCGCCGGCCCGTAATGTACCATCGCAGGCGTTTGCCTGCACGTTCATGGCCTCTTGGGGCCTCTTGCGGTTCGTTTGGGGGCCTCTCGATGCACCTTTTTGGGCCTCTCGGGGGCCTCGTGCGGCCTCCAGGGGGCCTCCGGGGCTCTCTTTGGAGCCTTTTGGGGCCTCTCCGGGGCCTCCTGGAGCGGAGGGCTCGAATTGGTTGTTCGTGCTCCCCCTCTTTGGCTCCTCTTGGGGCCGTCTTGGGGCCCTCTTAGGCGATCTCGGGCGCGTTTTGGAGCCCTTGTGGGCCGCTCTGGGGCCCTCTTGGGGGCCTCTTGGGCAGTCGAGGGCGATCTCGGAGGCATCTTGGGCTGTCTCGGAGCGTCGGGAAGCCGAAAAGACGAGAACGCCCAAATCCATCAAAAACAGAAGGGGAATCGATGAATTTTGCCTCTGGGGGCCCTCTGGGGAGTGCTCTTGGACGCCTCTTGGGCCGTCTGGGAGCCATCTTGAGCGTCCTGGAGCGATCTTGTCGGTCCATCTGGGCGGCCTGTTGGGGGCCTCTGGGCCGCTCTTGAGGCTCATGGGAGGCCCTGAGGGCGGCGCCCAGGAGCGGAACCATCTTTGACGGGGACTGCCCAGGACCTGCTTGGGGTACTTCTTCGGCCGCGGACCCCCAGGGGCCGCCCCGCGCGCGCGATCTAGACATACCGTCTTACCAGTCACCGGAGACTTTAGCACGCCCACTTCAACTTGTGCCTCAGGGCACGTTGCCGGATATAAAAGCAGAGGCAGAGAGAGAGGGGGGGAGAAGGGGAGAGAGAGAGAGAGAGAGAGATGGATGGGTACAAGGGGCTGGGTGATGGGGGAGAGAAGGCATGCGGGGCGAAGTGGTGTATCTAACATGATTGTCCCGAGCTGGCACCAATTGTTTTTACGCGTCCAGGCCACACAGGGGGATATCTAACATGGTTGTCCCGACCAATGGCCACGTGTTTTAACGTGTCCACTCCGCCCAGGGGTGTATCTAACATGGTTGCTCAGAGCTGGTCCCACGTGTTTTCACGTGTCCAGGCCACCCAGGGGAGTATCTAACATGATTGTCCCGAATTGGAGCCACGTGGTTTTACGTGTCCAGGCCGCCCTCGGGGGGGTATTTGACATGGCGGAGCCAGGTGCTTTAACGTGTCCAGGCCACCTAAGGGGTATCTAACATGGGCCTCCTGGGGCCTTCCTGGGGGCCTAGAACGGACGTCTAACATGAAGATGTGTTGAGGATGTCTCGAGCGAACCACTTGTGTTCACGTGTCCAGTTCGCTCAGGCGGATGTCTAGCATGAGGTGGCACGTCCATTGGTACGTTCCGTAACGCGTCTCTGGCACGTCCCGCGGTGCGCGGTGCGTCCCGTTGGCACGTCCCCAGGCACGTCCCCTGGCGCGTCCTTTGGGACGTTCCGCGGCGCGTCCTCCTGGCATGTTCCCCTGTCAATTAGCCCTGGGGCAGCTATTATGTTCTCAGGCAGCTCGAGCTTAAGATCCAGATCAGTTCGGTCAGGAGTCGGATGCAAAGGAGGACTCGATCCACAAGACAATGGAGCAGAATCGCGGCATGGCACATCGCAGTTCAGCACGGCGCAGCACAGCACAGCCCTCGGCATGGTACATCAAGATCGATACACTCAGCACTGCAATTTCGCACGTTCCGTGGCGCGTCCCATGGCGAGCCCCTCTGGCACGTCTCGCGGCGCGTCCCCTGGCACGTCCCGTAGCACATCCATTGGCACGTTCCGTAGCGCGTCCCCTTGGCACGTCCCGCGGTGCGGCCCCATGGTACGTCCCCTGGCGCGTCGCCTGGCGCGTCCTTTGGGACGTTCCGCGGCGTGTCCTCCTAGCATGTCCCCCCTATGAATTAGCTCTCGGGCAGCTACGACGTGCTCAGGCAACTCGAGCTTAAGATCCAGATCAGTTCGGTCAGGAGTCGGATGCAAAGGAGGACTCGATCCACAACGCTATAGAGCAGACTCGCGGCATGGCACATCGCAGTTCAGCACGGCGCAGCACAGCACAGCCCTCGGCATGGTACATCAAGATCGATACACTCAGCATTGCGTTTGCCCGTCGCCCAATCTGGTGTGTTCGAAACGTTGCCATGTCTTCATTTCTAATCCTTTCCGGGTTTGTGGGCCGATCATGTTTAAACACATGCCGATATGTGTATTGTTTTCGTCCGTTTTCAATCATCACCACCACCAGTTAAGGTCTGGGAGAAGGCCCCCGCTGAAGGGAAGACACCGCCGTGCGACGCGGCAGAGAGAGAGAGAGGGAAAGAGAGAGAGAGAGAGAGATACAGAAAGAAGGAGAGAGGGAGGAAGGGAGCGGAGCGCGTGCAGAGAGAGGGCTGACGATTGTAATGATGAGTTTCGCAGAGGAGGGATTCGGCCCCGAACCCCAGTGGACGCGTACGTTTGAGAGTCCCTGCGTTAAGAGATTTGGGGCCACATTGAGCGGTCGATCTTGGACTTCGCGGGATGCCCAAGACTCGAGTTTAGAATGCTGGTGAGGACGGTGCACCTTTCCTCACATCCTCCGATGCGGTTTTTCCGGGACAGGGCTTGGGCCTAGGATTCTCTTTTGGTGTGGTAATTTGTCCCCGGTGCCATGTTGGGGGTGGGCCGATGGACTCTTTCTTGGACGGATATCGAGGTCGAGGTGGGTCGGCGGATAAACAATTGAGGATGTCTCAGTCGAAACGCTTGTACAAAACATAGGATCAAGTGTATACATTTTCGTTTGTTACGGATGTCTCGAGCGAAACGGTTGGTTTGCAGAGTTTGTTGAGGATGCCTTGATCAAATCACTGGTTTTGTCCTACAGATTTCTCTTCTCCTCGGGGCCAGAATTCAAAGGATGTCTCAGGCGAAATGCTTGCCGTAGTCCTTTTCGCTTCAGGGTGGAACAAGAGTGAAAGCACGTGAGTCCCTTTCGTTTCAGGGCGCGGCAAGCGTGAAGTCACGTGGGTCCCAGTCGCCTCAGGGCAGAGCAAGAGTGAAAAGACGTGGTCCTTTTCGCCTCTGGGCGGAGCAAGCGTGAAAACACTCCCTTACGCTTGCTCCGCGAAAAGGACACACCTGATTTCACGCTTGCTGCGCTCTATGGCGAAAGGGACCCACGTGTTTTCACGCTTGTTGCGCTTGGGAGCGAGAGGGGCCCACGTGTTTTCACGCTTGTTCCGCTCTTGGGCGACAGGGGCCCCACGCGTTTTCACGTTTCATGCTCTCTGGAGCGAAAGAGATCCACGTGATGTCACGCTTGCGGCGCTCTGGGTCGAAAGGGGCCCGCGTGTTGTCACGCGTCCTGGCCACCCACGGGCGGTCTCCCCCTTTCAAATGTGAGGAAGGGCATTCAACAAATCGGCACTCGATGCATAATCACTTGGCACGTTCCGTCTTGGGGCCCTGGGGAGGCCTCCTGGGGCTTCCTGGGGGAGGCCCACGTGTTTTCACGCTCATTGCACTCCGGGGCAGGAGGGCCCCCCGTGTGTTCATGCTCTCTCCGCCGCTCCGGGGCGAAAGGGACCCATGTCAGTTCACGCGTGCTGCGTTCTGGGGGCAGGGCACCCGCATGGTTTCACGCCTGCTCCGCTCTGGGGCGAAGAGGGGCCCGCGCGGATGCCCGCACAGATCCCGTCGCAGGCCGCTTCGCAAACTACTAGCGGGTCGTTTCGCCCGCTGCTTCTGAAAAAAGGCGAATTTTCATCTTACTCCTGCTCTTGGTCATGCTCCTCCCGGGTCCTTCTCATCATCTCTATCTTTCTTCGTTTCTTCCTCCTCTTCCATAGTCAGGGAAGCGGTGGATGTGGTGTGCGTCGAGAGACTGATGGTTGTGATACAGACGATGGTTGCGATGCCGCATCGTTGACGCCTATCCCGGATACTTCGAGCGTCCACTGTTTCGCCTGGCTCAAATCTGGTCAAAATCGGTCTCTCTGGACCCCTCCCCGTGGTCATCCTGACTTCCTTTTCGAGGCGGGTCCTGCCGTGGCGACGAGATGCCTCCAGTCGAAAAAACATGTGTAAACATATTATGTTGGAGGTCCGCGCGGATTTCTTGGACCTGCGCTGCAACCCCCTGACGGCGCCTCCAGCGCCGCCCCTGGCGCGCTCTGCGCGACAAGGAGGGGGGGGGTCTGGCGCTAAGCCAATGTCTGGGACACGGCAGATGCGCGGAGAAGGAGTGGAGCACGTATGCAACTGCATGACGTCTAGGGGTTGTACGGTCGGGAACTTTTGGGTAGCGTGTCGCTCCGCCGGTTCTGGCCCACCACGCTTTGGCGCGACACGTTATCCATTTCCTAGTCCCGCAGCGTCAACGTCCCGAGCTTTCCCGAGCTCCCGCCCCGCGGAGTGGAGCGATACGCAAGTTTCCCGCTCGCAAGGCATAGCAGCATATATTGTCGCCAGGCCCACAGCCGCGACTTGCTAAGCAAAAGTTCCTGATCGCATGTTGCAGAGAAGAGGACACTCTGGCCCGAACCCTATTTCGATTTGGGATATGACGCACACAAGGTGGCCACTTTGCCCCATGGGCTTCCTCCTAGTCTCCCCCCATCGCCTTCCTTGCCTTGTCTCTCCTCTCATTCGTGGCTGGGCCTCAGCATGGTGGTACCCTCTGTCCCCCAGTGGGGAACCTGGCAGTATTCATCATCAACGCATTGGCTGGGCGCGGGGAGCATAGGACATTAAAGGCGGACTCCTACACGGCGGGAGGGCGAGAGAGTGCGGCCAGACAGGCGCCGCAGGGGGAGGGGGCCCCCGCGGGCCCCCCACCGCTCCCCCGGAGAGGCCGTCAAGGGCGAGGGCATGCCCACGTTCAAGAACCCCTTCGTTACCGGCAGCCAGGGGCTGCGGCCCCCCTCCCTCGACGACACGTAAGCCAAGAGGAAAGAAAGCACACAGACACAAATAATCGTCGGCCCCCCGGAACCTAGGGGAAAATGCTGGAAGCGGGGGGAGGACGAGCATCCAGGACCTTTGCTGGAGTGACCCTTTGCTGGAGTGACCAGGCACCTTCGGTAACAGCAACCCTTCGCTGGAGTGACCTTTGGTGCGGGCTCGCCTGGGCCCCCGATCGCTGAACGCGATGCGATGGTGGCTGCTTGCTCGCTTGGATTTGGCCACCTGGCACCATTCTGAACCCGCACACTGAAGGCCATCCTTGCCGAGGCACGCTCTTGCGTGCAGCCGATCTCCCAGTTTCGGTACGGTCGACATGTATACGAAAAGAACGGGTACGGAGACCGACAGCTGCTCCTGTCCACTCTGGGCAGGGTTTGGGGATGCGGAAGAACAGACGCACGGGGATGCGGCCAAAAACTCACCGCATCCTCGTGCGTTTTGTCCCGTATTCCCGAGTTGTTTGTTCCGCATCCCAGTATGTGTTTGTCCGCATTCCCCGCGCGTGCTGTTTCCGCAATCCCGTCCGTTTTCTCCGCATCCCCGTGTGGTTTTTCCGCATCCCCGCTTTTTTGTTCCCGCATCCCGACGACCGGCAGCAGTTTTTGTCCAGTTTGGGTAAGGATCGTTGTCGGCGTTGCCGCCGAAGTTGTCCATTCGAGACAGGGGGTCCGCCTGCCCGATAGCGGCCGCTGTCGGTTTTGGACAACGTTTTGGTTCTTGCCAATGTCGCGCGTCCGAATTTCCCAGTCCACGTTCTCGTCCGCCTCCTTGGGACAACAAGAAACTGAATAAACATCATTTCTCTGAGGTTCGCGCGGGTTTCTTGGATCGGCGTTGGGCCCCCATGGCGGCGCCTCTGGCGCCCACCTCAGCGCGCTCCGCGCGCCGGAGGGGAAGCCAACGCCTATCCAAGCAGCTCGCGCGGTCTTCGAACATTATTGTGAATGTAGTTTATTGTTCTTCTACCCGCCCACTCGTCCCACGGCTACTCCTCGCCCTCCAGTTATTTATCCTGTGTTCCTCTCCTCCCCCGCTTTTGGTTTTCCTCAGCCGTGCCTTTCCGGTGCCTGGACGTCGTGCAGAGCCACCGATAGGCGCCCCCAATCACAAACAATGTCCGCGATTCCCAAAATTCCTCTCCCACCCGCTCCCTCTTCTCTCCCATCACCTCCGCTGTAGGAATTTCCGCTAGGATTCTGCCCCGTATGGAAGAGAGGGAGAGAGAGAGGAAGTAGAGAGACAAACAAAATGATGATCATTCTAACAGTAAGCAATAACAGGGAAAGAAGAGAGAGAGAGAGAGGAACAAACACATTAAGACTAAGCAAGTAAAGAAAGAGAGAGAGAGAGACGGGATGTAGAGAGAGGGAAAGAGAAAGAGAGAGGGAGACAGAGAGAGAGAGAGAACACAACAAACACATACACATACACACAGGGAGACAGAGAGACAAACAGACAGACAGGCAGACAAAGACAGACAGAAAGGCAGGCAGGCAGACATACTGACAGACAAACAGAGATGATATTCATATCCTTCAAGCCGTGCTTTTGGAGGTTCTTATTCTCAACCATCCTGTGGTGTTGGGTCCTCGTTTTGAACAGACGGTCCCCGCGTTCCGTTCCTCTTCTCTTCTCCTCCTCCTGCCCCTCCTCCCCTCCCTCCTCCTCCTTCCATGCGTTTCACCCACCCAGCACAGCGTTTCGTGGCCCACAGGGAGCTCCACCGAAGCCCCCAGTGGGACCGCCCGCATGCGTCCGCCACCACCCAGCACAGCACTTGCTCCTTGCGTTCCACCCGCCCAGTACAGCGTTTCGTGGCATTATAGTGGGCTCCACCGAAGGTCCCAGTGGCACCGCCCGCATGCGTCCGCCACCACCCAGCACAGCCCTTGCTCCCTGCGTTTCACCCACCTTGTACAGCGCTTCGGGGCACTATAGTGGGCCCCGCCGAAGGTCCCAGTGGCACCGCCCGCATGCGTCCGCCACCACCCAGCACAGCCCTTGCTCCCTGCGTTTCACCCACCCAGTACAGCGCTTCGGGGCCCCATAGGGAGCTCCACCGAAGGTCCCAGTGGCACCGCCCGCATGCGTCCGCCACCACCCAACACAGCCCTTGCTCCTTGCGTTTCACCCACCCAGTACAGGGCTTCGTGGCCACATGAGGGGGCTCCGCCGAAGGTCCCATTGGCACCGCCCGCATGCGCCCGCCACCACCCAACACAGCGCTTGCTCCCTGCGTTTCACCCATCCAGTACAGCGGTTCGTGGCACCATAGTGGGCTCCACCGAAGGTCCAGTGGCACCGCCCGCATGCGTCCGCCACCACCAAACACAGCCCTTGCTCCCTGCGCTTCACCCGCCCAGTACAGCTTTTCGTGGCACCATAGGGGGGGCTCCACAGAAGGTCACAGGGTCCCAGTGGCACCGCCCGCATGCGTCCGCCACCACCCAACACGGCCGTTGCTCCCTGCGTTTCACCCACCCAGTACAGCGCTTCGGGGCCCCATAGGGAGCGCCACCGATGAAGATATTCACAATTTCGGTACTCACAACTGCATATGGTTGGGCCTTTCGCCAGGCTAATGTTTTTAACGAGATGGGCAGGTGTGCCGCTCTGGCGGCTATGTAGCCGCCGTCGCCGCTCCGTCGCCGCCTCATCGCCGCTAGTCGTGTGGGCCTGAGTGCCGCTCTGGTGTCTTTGTGGCCGCCGTCGCCGCCTTGTCGCCGCCGATCGTCTGGGCCGGTGTGGCGGTCTGGTGGCTATGTAGTCGCCGTCGCTGCCCTGTCGCCGTCTAGAGTCTCCTTTTCTAAAAAGACTCTACCCCCCCGCGTTATCCCCCCTCTTCGGGTATGTAACTCATATATGATTCTGACCTCTGACCACATGTCCATCCTAAATATGAGTTTACAGTATCCCAGGGGGCCGGTATCGCTACCCCTGAGGTTCCCTTCTCAAAACAGTACGCGGGGACATTTCTTGTTCGAGCATAATTCTTGTTCACGAATCCCTTGCAAAAAAAGGGACGGAGTGCACACGCGCGCGTCGTCGCGCGCGCATGCCGAAATCCTTTTTAAAAACGCTCGGTATCGGAAGGATTGCGTAATCGACTTCCCAACAAAAAACATGCAAAAACACATGCAAAAAAAGATTACGCGCCAGCTCTTGCGAAATCTTGAGAACACCATCGTTTTTTTGTTTTTTTTCGAGATTTTCACCGGATGCTACCAAGCGGGCTTCGCGCGCGCGCATGTCGAAATCTGTCGAACGCCGTTGCGCGTGTGCCGTCGCGAGAATCCTTTGCAAAAAACGGGACGGAGTGCAGACGCGCGCGTCGTCGCGCGCGTATGCCGAAATCTTTCAAAACCTATTGGTTTCGAAAGAATGTCAAAATCGTGTGTCCAAACAACCTACAAAAACACAAGGTTTCGCAACACGGATTTTTAACAAAAGCGTGCGCGCGCTCTTGCGTCGTCATCGTCGTCGTCGTCGTCGTCGCCGTCCTCCCTCCTCCCGCGTCGTCGTCGGTGTCGTCGTCGCCTACGTCGTCCTCTGTCGTTCCTCGTGTTCGTCGTCGTCGTCCTCTTTGGCGTCGTGGTCGTTTCCGTCGTCGTTGTCGCCGTGGTCGTCCTTCCTCCTCCTCCCTCGTCGTCGTCGTCGTCGTTGCGATTCGTCGTCGTCTTTCCTATTTCGTCGCCGTCGCGTCGTCGTTGTTGTCGTCATCGTCGTCTTCCCTCCTCCCTCGTCGTTGTCGTCGTCGGCGTCGCCGTCCTTCCTCCTTGTTCGTCGTTCGCGACGTCGCCGTCCTCCCTCCTCCCTCGTCGTTGTCGTCGTTATCGTCGTTGTCGCCGTCGTCGTCCTCCCTCCTCCCTCGTCGTCGTCTTCATTGGCGACGTCGTCGTCGTCTTCGTCGTCGTCGTCGGCGTCGGCGTCGTCGTCGTCTTCGTCGTCGTCGACGTCTGCGTCGTCGTCGTCGTCGTCGGCGTCGGCGTCGGCGTCGTTGACGTCGTCGTCGTCGTCGGTGTCGTCGTCGTCGGTGTCGTCGTCGTCGTCCGCGTCGTCGTCGTCATCGTCGTCGTCGTCGGCGTCGGTGTCGTCGTCGTCGTCGGTGTCGTCGTCGTCGTCGTTGTTGTCGTCGTGGTCGAAGTCGTTGTAGACGTCGTCGGTGTCGTCGTAGTCGTTGTCGGCGTCGTCGTCGTCGTTGTCGCTGTCGTCGTCGGCCTCGCTGTCGTTGCCAAGTGCCAGTTGGTAGCCACCGCCACGGTCTTAAGAGATTTTGCAAGCCAAGTTGCGGGTGGGTGGGATGTTTGCGCGAGCAGTGGAGTGGACAACTCATTGCGAATAGACATTGCTTGCACAACGTAGATTGCACCGCATTTCTCCTTGTATAAAACGGGAAAAAGGATTTACGACCCCCCTGTTGTTTTTTCGATTTTCTTTGGGATAGTTCGATTCACATCTGATTGTGCCCCATCAGTCATCTCAAACATGCACTCGTACCACCCCAGCCCAGCCCGTATCGCCCCCCCACCCCTTCTCAGATTCATCAAATCACAATCTGCGCGCGCATTGGTTCACCAAAAACCATCAGTGTTCGAGCGTCGCGTGCAAACCAAGTGACAGGGTCGATACGCGCGCCTGGTCGCGATCGCATGCCATCAAACATCTTAGTGCCCGTACGGGTTTCAAGGTCGAGGGTCCCGAAGAACAGCTTTTGCACAACAGGCATCCGTGATTTTGCAACATTACTATTGGACAATATTAGCCAGCGTGATCCCCAAACATTGTTCTTTCTAGGTGTAGTGCAACCTATGTGGGGCAGATAATTTCTGTTCGCAGTGGGTTGTCCACCCCACTGCTCGCGCAAACATCTCACCCACCCACCCGCAACTTGGTTTGCAAAATATCTTAAGACCATGGCGGTGGGTACCAACTGGCACTTGCAGCGA